AGAAAAATAAATTAAAATAACTTTTTTTTTTTTTGGTAGTATTTCTTTGAGAAAGCTAAATAAAGTTCTGCCTAGACTTCTCTGCACTGACAATATTTGCTGTGTAGTTTTGTTTGGAGCCCTTCTCTTCTTTGAGGTTTCCTGTTTCAGAGTTGGAGAGCTCTTAATGCATTTTAATTCTCAAGAATTGCCAAGGTTGTTAGTTCTGTTACCAAGCTGGTCTTGAGGGAAAGACATTTTTGTCTACTTTACCTTTATACACTGATTTTTGCAACTGCAACAACTAACTATAGCCTCTAATATTTTTAGTGCTAAAGCCCTCTAAAGAATGGTATTTTAACACTTTGCACTCTGATTGGTTGATATATACATAAATAATATTAATCAGGAACAACTCCACGAGAAGATGTAGAGCAAGGACATAGACTCCTGCAGTTTTTCCTAAATTTTACTATTTAATATTCATCATGTACCTCTAAGAAGAAGTATGAGAAAATTACGATTGTGTAAGTAGTATTTCTGCACCATCTATAACCCGTATCTTTAACAAAAAACATTACAGCATCTAGCTGTCTGCCAGACATTCATCACAAGTATCTGTTCCATGGGAAAGCTGGAGAACTGTTTGAAAAACTTGTGAGACTGCTTCTCAAGTTCAAAGAGCAACTTTTATTTTCTTCCCTGAAGTTTAATTCTTCTCAATGTGGACACAAGGGATCAAATCTCACCTGAAATTGGGACTGTGTATCTACTAGTAAATAACCCAAGGACTGCTCTGTGGCACAGAGGCCAGCTATCAAAGTGCAGCCTGCATCCATATCATTAACCTGTTAGCAACCAGAACAAGATGATAACATACAAAATGTGTACCAGAAAAGGCACCTTGGTAACACACGAATTGTGTGTATGCCAAAATCTATGCTAGCAACTGCTCTACCAATTAGCTGTACACATGACTGAGCTACAGTGCCCCAGAAAATTTCCTGGCACTACTGACTCTAGTAACATAGATGTAGTGTGACTGGCCTAATGTTAAGCTTCTAACTTATTTGGGCCTCTCTTTAGTCAACAATGTGATTCATTCAACATTTTTGTAACCATCTATTTTAGGATGAAACAACCTCTAAATGTATTCTTATCTCTATATAGTTAGGCATCAAGTCAAAGTTTTCTGGTGACAAAAAACTGGTGAGAAGTTCCTGACACCTCATGGGCTTGTGGTTATTGAAGCAAAAGCAAAGCAGGAGCAAGAAAAATTCCTAGGATCTTATGTTGTTTACTCTTGGGAGCATATTAAGTATGATACTAGAAAAGCTAAAGTGTGATCTCAGAAAATAAGAATGAACATTAACTTGCTCTGTTATCAAATGTTTTTGTTCTCTTGATGATCCAATACAAAACAAAGCCAAAAACATTTTTTAATGTATATGGCATTTTATGCACAGTTGTAACAGTCATAATCATAATGCAAAACCCAGTGTTAAAGGCATTTTCCCCTCCTTTCTTTGTCCCATCTCTACATATGAAGATGTCATAGTATGTCAATGCCTTGCATAGCCTTTGTCCAATGTCCCCCGAAGAGCAATGAAGACCTCAGGATACTCAGGAACAGCATAAGATAAAAGCTTGGGCAAGTAAAAACAGAGTTTGATCTGCAAAGTGACCACAAATTGCAGCAATGCATGAATAGAATCTGCTTGGGAGCTAAGAATGAGTTTGCAGAACTAATAAGTGAAAAGTCTTCCTTCATTTTACTGTAGATCAGTACATTCAAGATTATGTTGAGGGTATAATTAACACAGACATCTTTTCTGTTAATACGTTAGCAGTAATTCTTCAAGATTTAAAAGTTGGCATTTGCTCAATATGGCCATAGGCAACATAATTATGCGATTATTTCACTCCTGAGGCAACTTCAGTTACACTTAGCTCCTTTGTTTTCTACATGCTTTTAAGATTAGTTCAAGCTACAGATTAGAATTTTATGATTAATCTCCAAACCATTATCAGAATAATAAATCATAAACAATGTCTCCTGGATAAGAGGGTTTGAACTCTGTCACTGTTACCTTGGAAACAGGGTAACAATTTTGCATAGCACTATTTAGTATCAGAACACTGTGAAGCACTAAACCTTTCCTGAAAACAGTGTAATCATCTTCCTTTTAAATATTTATCCTTACCTCTCTCAATATTTAAAATAGTTTACTGTTTTTTTTCCAACTTGCCTATTCTGTTCATGCAATTACATAAAATCAAGTGAATAAATTACATTGCAAATATTGTTAGCTCAGTTCTATATGGAATAGTTGTGTAGCATCTTTAAATGGAAGACAACACTCCTAAGTCTACACTGTTGCTCAAGGTATACTGTGTACAGGGAATATGATGTGTCATGTTCCACTTAAGCTTCTGATGCTTACAATTTAGTGGAAGTATTCTTTCTTAAAAGATAACTACAAACATTTTAAAGAATTTCAGTATCATCTATGATCTTAGATGCTACATCTTCGTATTTTAAAATTTAAAATGGCTTTTGCAATATTTGTCTTTTGCAAATTCTACAAGCCATGGACCGCGAGTCTTTTATCTGCTGTATAATGTATTTGACACATCTGCTTTCTAGTCTATTACTTAATAACAAAAGAAATGCTTCTGCCACTTAAAACAGGAATGATTATATCTTGACTCCAGAAAGAGAGGCTGTGGGCCCCAAAGGTACCAGACTGACAATAGATGACTTGCTCTCTGACTTGAGACAGTAACAGAGAAAATGACAAAAAGGAGGAGTCACATTACATGAAGTATGGAAGCTACACTGGGGAATTAGCAGAATCAGAACCAGTAGTTGTTAAAAAGAAAGGAACATAATAAAGGCAGGCACTCGGAGCATTCATTCACTCATCAGTCAGACAAGGCAAGAGCTGGGTCAGGTGAGTAGTCACTGTATACTGGTAAATTAGGAGCCAATAAATAATATAGCTATGGTTGGAAAAAAAAATAAAGAGCAGAAACAGTTCAGCATCTTCCTTTCACTCCACACAACACCAGGACTAATTACAAAAACAAATCTTGTCTAGCTGACACTTCAGCTAGGGTACTATTACCTGCTTGGGCTATGGTACCTCAAGAAAGGTACAAAGGTCATGGAAACAGAAGTTCATGAGAAACAGAAGTGATTGTGTATCAGGAAAAACACTGCATGGAAAACAAAACAAAGCAGCAAACAACAACACAATACTGATGCTGCAAGTCATACATATATACTGGCAGCAGCAGGGCAGTAGGAAAAAACCCTCAAAAGTAATATAGTAGTATTAATTAGGAGACAGTACCCACAGACTTTGTGAGTATTCATTGTTACTGATGTTTTTCTAATCAAACACATAGCAGAAACAATTAAATACTATTAGCCCTGCCTGTAGGTAGGAAGAGAGCTCCTTTTAGCTTTCTTCCCTGATTCTGTTTTTGGCTGTTCACTAGACACATTAGGCAGTCCTTGCTTTGTCCATCAGGAGCATATGCACGCACGCATATATATGTTTCTGCTGGATACACCCAAAACCCACATCAAGGGTGTTGTGTTTTTTTTAAGGTAACATTATGCCTTATGGCTTATTGTAGAATGATAAAATGAATTCTGCAAGTAGTGTACTATTTTGACATAGATTCAATGTCTCCTTCAACTCCTTCAATTGTTACAAGAAAGGAGGCTTAATGATTTCTGAGTCTCAGAATCTGAGAAAAATCAAAATAAACTGGAATTAAAGTCTCTGAGGAAGTTTCTTAAATTAATGAAGTGACTAAATACCTAGTAACTAACATTAGAAATTGCATTAGAAAGAACAGTGTTGGAACAAGTAATGCGTGTGGTGCAAGGAACATGCTGAATCTTAAATAGATGCATAACTCAAACCTGTATGGTTAAGTTGTCCAAATTCAGAAATGAATGTGGTGAATACAAGCAATACAAACTACTTCTGTGGGTTTTACTTTACTGGACTGTTATCTCTGAAGGAATTGAGGCAAACTTTTTTTTTCTTTTTATACTCAAACATAAAATTTATCTATAGATTCAACATAAAGGACAACCCTCTAACATTAGCTGGCAACATACGGTAACCTACAGTCCTCCTTCACTTCCAGATCCCGATGGATTTTTATTTTATTAAAGCAAAAAAAAAAAAAAGGAAAAAAGCTAAACACACACAAAACAAAGTTCTTGCATCAATCCTAAAGAGCACATTTGCACTGCATCGAATAGTTTCATATGTTAAGATCAAATAAGGTAAAAGGCACCAATGGACCTGCCAGACTATTGCCTTATCTTAGGCAAACATAGTGCCACACAGGAGAACAAACTGCTACACATTTCGAGGTAGGCAAGTGGACATATTATGAAAAAGACTGGAAAAAAATCCAGAAAAAAAAAAAGCAAATATCTTTGTCCTTGTGTACCCTCTGGTGGCTGTACAAGGTTATACTGGCTTTACAGTAACTAAGCAGGCAGTTTCTTCAGAATGGAATCAGAGTGCTCACCTCTGCACTAGTTCTGTTAAATCAACAAAGATTCATGAGATCAGGGTTATGAACGAGAAAAACTACAAAAAAATTCTGCATTGTTAGCTGAATCCAACGGATTCTTATGTAGGTTTTCCACCAAATAAGTCACTATTCTCATAGCAAGTATTACACATCTGGTGCACGTGCCACATTCTTGGCTGCATGGAAATATGGAAATAGCAGCAGCACGCACCTCTATGTTAAACCAAGCATTAGTTCTCCAGAATTCCTCAAAGGGTAGAAACAATTTGGCATGTTGGTTGCAAGAGACCACATAAGAACTGCTCATACTGGACACACAGGTTACATGAGACAGCAACAAATAGCTAAAGCTATTGGACAGGCCTGCTGCTTTGAACATGCAGAGGCTGCTTTGCCCGCATGTGCTGAAGAAGTGGATTGCATCAGGAACCAAAACTGCCAGCATAAGAACAGTCTTACAGCAAGCAGACAGCTAACATTTAATTTAGTACAGATAAAACAAACATAGAAGATAGCACAACCAATTTAAATAAATTCACAGAAATAACCCAAAACAAAAACAGCAAACGTAAAAGAAAAAAAAAACAACAAACCCAGAATAACCACCACACCTCCCAAACCCTCCAATAACTAAAAGGAGAGGTTGGCACCCTAGTCAAAGTACCAAGTCCCCTCTAAGGTGAAAAAAATAAAGAATCCTCATTACATTATGGCTTAGCACAAGGACATAAAGTGAACTCTATTTGGTTGATGGAACACACAACTGGTGAAGCAGAAAGAGAGCAGCAGCCAAAAGGACTAGATATAAAGTAGGTTTTTAGCACCTCATGTCTATTACTTCATTAACAGAAAGACGCAACAAGTTTTGCTACTCATTAAACAATGCCAGAAATGAAATATCCTGGCAACCGCTGAAGTGTTCAGCCTTGTACAAAGTTCTATGCGATTTGGCAGGAGGACATATTTCTGAGGCATATTCTATCCTTATGCTGTGCCATATAAATAAGGTACTTAGTCTGCCAACATGAAAAGGCATAGAGCAAGGTTATTTACCAATACCTGCATATTGACTATGAGAAAAAAATCTAAATACATTCTTGAAGTGAGATAACGTATGTTCAAGGTGTAGAGTCCATAACATACAGAATGCACACAACATATGAACATGCGAGAAGCAAACTGAATACCAAGCTGTAGGTGCAATTCACATCCCTTTTTAATTAAAAGGAAACCTTATCTTTCATACACCATATACAGCAACAGTGCTGCCCAGTCCCGAAGACAACTTTGAAAAAGCTTCCCTTCCTGTACAGCAATTAGGAACTCAGAAGCAGGCGAGCTGGCTCCATTCTACAGATATGCAGATTTTTTTTCTGTACCCAAAGTGTACATTGGGAGAAAGCTACACAATTGGATAACCTCGGTAGCTCTTCTTTCATGCTATTCAATTGCTGCCGTTTTTGTAAGTATACAGTCACAAGCAGAAATCCAAACCCTTTTTTTTCCGTGCATTTACAGGTGAGTTTCAGAAAGTGAGTTCCTCTTCCATTTTTGAAGATCACACCTATGCAACTGTATTGCTTGTCTTTCACCCCCATGCCTGGGTTTTGCAATAATGCAGCACCAGCTTGCCATCACTTCCAAAACACTGCAATAAAACAAAACCAAGAGCTATTAGGTTATTCACAGAGTAGCATATACACAAAGCAAAACAAAAACAAGCCAGATGAATGTATCGTGAAATACTGTTGTTCATAACAAAGGTCTCCATCACAACTGGAGGCATGACATACACATGTGAAGTACGGCTCTTCCAGAGGCTGTATGAAGTCATGTCTCTTCAAACCTTATCAATACAGATCTGTGATTTGCAACGCTATTACACTAAATTCAAGATACTACCAGTGCAGCTAGGAGCAGTAACAGATTTAAAGTGCCAGAATCATACCACAGCCTCTGCTAAGCACATTTGGAAAGGCTATTTAAAATTGAAAGTCACCTCATAGAGGGTCCCAACTTCCTGGTCTGGAGACGGAGCAAAAGACTGGTTCACATATATGAACTGCAAGAAAAGGAAACAGAAGATGAAGACTTCATAAGTAAGGTACCCAGAAGAAATGCTCTTCAGCCCGGGATAGGTAAATCTATCCTATGTTTATGACTTATTTAATAATCTTTACAGACTGCACCAAACTACAACAAGTTAGCATCTTCGCTGCAGGGTGGAGGAGCAGCATGACTTCCACATGAGCCCCAGCAAGGTGCTGAATGCATTCTCCTACAGGCTGATCCACTGCTCTCCCATACAGCAGCAGGAAATAAACTCACTGGTTTAGTTCTTAATCTGAGTATCCAAACCACTCCTACTAACCTAAGTTTTCTCAATTAGAACAACACTCACAGATTTTATTTCTTATTTTGGTCACCATTCTCACTTCCTGCTTTAAACAGAAGTACACAGAGTAGCTAGTCTATAGGGTCAGAGGGCCTTGGGATCTGCAGTGTAAGATGGCAATACAGGTATCATGTAGTTTCCAAAAAAAGCCTATACAGTTCCTGGGGTTTTGTTCCCGAAGTTTAGCTTTAAGTTCCATGCTGGAACAGTCTGTGCCTCTTTATTTTCTTGTTGAGACAATGAGTTAATGAATTAAACTGTTGATAATGAATTGATAAGTCATAGTTAATGAATTAAACTGTTGATAATATCCACCAGTAGTAAAAACTGTAACTATTACTCTTTTTTGAGACATTATTAGAGTTACCTTATCTGATACTTCAGTTGCAGATTTCAGTATTGTAATGAGTCTAGCTTTTATTTTACATCTAAAAAGAAAGCTCATATTAAAAAGTGCATGGATGTTGAAATAGAAGTGGTAATTTCAAAGTATTTCTGTACCAGTTCCAGTTTCTACATTATCAGAAGGACTTTTAGGCTTCAAGGCGATTAAGGAACAGCACTGGAACTGTGCTGCCCAGCTACGCACATTCCCACACTAACCATTTTGAAAAAGGAATCAGTCTTCTGACAGCACCTTTAAACTGTCTGGAAGAGAAACTGTGAAGGAAACAAGCCACCAGCAATCAGAAAGTCAATCCCGAACGCTTCAGAGTTTTTTGTAAACGCTTCTTCCGTACAGCTGTTTTTCAGACCTATGCTGCACGTATGAATCTGTCAATGAAGGGCACGCTTGCACAGACTGTACAGAGCTGCGTGAAGTGCAGGCTGGGCTGTAAAATCATAGAGTCATTAGGGGTGGAAGAGAATTTCGAGATCATCCGGTCCAACCATTGCCCTGATACCAGTGTCACCCACTAACCCATGTCCCCAAGCACCAGGTCCAACCTTTCCTTGAGCACCCCCAGGGACGGTGACTCCACCACCTCCCTGGGCAGCCCGTCCCAGTGCCTGACTGCTCTTTCTGAGCAGAAATGTCTCCTCATTGCCAACCTGAACCTCCTCTGGCACAACTCGAGGCCACTCCCTCTTGTCCCATCACCTATCCCCTGCGAGCAACACCCCCCTGTCCGTCCGTCCCCCCCCCCCCTCAGGTACCAGCTGCTCGGAGGCCATCAGCTTCAGGAACTTCTTGATGAAGTCGACGAGCCCCTGGATGGTGCGGGTGCGCTCCACGGCCCACTTCTTGGTCCTCATGATGGGGGTGTCGCCCACGGCCTTCAGCAGCACGTCAACTGCCGGGTTGGGGGGGGGCACCGTTAGCAACCGGCCGCGGCGTCCCGCCCCCACCGCGCCCTCATTGGCTACCGCCGCCAGCTCTCTGCGCTGATTGGCCCTCTCGCCTGCCCGTCACCCCCCCCCCCCATACCCGTCCCCACAGCGGCCCAACCGCCACCTCACTTTTCTTCTTGGCGTCGCCGCCGGGTTCCTCGCTGCCCGGCGAGCCGGCCGCGGGAGGCACCGGCTCAGCAGCGCCCGCCGCCGCCGTCCCGCTTTCCGCAGCCTCCTCCCCGGCTTCCCCTTGAGGCGACACCGCCGCCTGCTCCCCGTCCTCCGCCATGCTGCTGCGGGCCGGGCGGAAGCCACGCCCCCCCCCCCCGCACAGCAGCGCGGCGCCGCGAGGTGTTCTGTCCCTCGCGGGACGCCGTCGTTCCCCCCCCCACCTCCTCCCTCAGCTCCGGTCCGGTCAGGCGCTGGGGGGCGGGGCGGCGGCGGTTGGGTCCGTTAACGGCTGCGGCTCGGCGGGGCCCGGCCGGCGGGGGCGGCCGCACCATGATCAAAGCCATCCTCATCTTCAACAACCACGGCAAGCCGCGCCTCTCCAAGTTCTACCAGCGATACGTACGGGACGGGCGCCGGGACCATCCCGGGGGGGGGGGGGGTTGGGGTGGAAAACGGGGGTTAGAGCCGTTGGGGGGGGGGTTGGGGTGCCCTCCAACCGCCCCCGCATTCCCGGGTTATCTATCTATTTATTTATTTATTTACTTGCTAATTTATGTTTATCGAGTTAATTAATTCCGTTAATTATAATTCGCTTGTTTCTGGGAGCTGGCTCGCAGCGCGTGTTTTTTTGGCCTCCTCTCGGATGTGGCGCTACGTGTCTGTCTGTCTGTCTGTCCGTCCGTCCGCTGGAGCGAGGAGTCAGCGCTGCCCTTTTCCCTTTGAAAACTGTCAGAATAATAGGAAAATACAGTTCTCCCAGAAAAAAAAAAAAAAAATCACTTGCAAAAGGATATTCTTTTACACGGGAGGGGGGGAGGCTGAAGCAGCTCTGAAAATGCGGTGTGAGGGCTTGATCTGCAGCCCGAGGGGTCCAAGAAACAGCGTGGCCACACTGAATTCAAGGATAAGAGATTTTAAGCTAATGCTTTAATCGTGCGTATGGCCTTTCCTAGCAAGCAGGCTAAGCTCTGCTTGGGCTGAGCTTGGACAATAAAATCCAAGAAAACAGCTGATACTCCCCAAAATTATGTAAACTAATTATTCTTTCTAAGAAGTGCCATTATTTATTCGTATCTGTGGCCAGTTACTTAAAATTCTGGCCACTACGGAAGCCATATTTAGGTTTAATGGAAGGGATGTATCTTGCTACACACACCTCAGAGCAAAAATGATGACTCTGAGGCCTCGGTTTGCACTGCAAGGCTTTTAATTAAAGAAGTGTGACTGATACTGGTTATTGCTGTGGGCAACTGAATTTGAGCCTTTCTCCTCAGGAAGTTGATACCGAAAAACGCTAATATATGTTGGTTAATCCCTTTTTCATCTCTCTCATCAATTCTGTGTTACCAAGCTGTTGTCTTTCTTTCACTGTTCCTAATTTAAAAATTCAGGTGGAGTATTCTCACCTACATATATTGATAAACATTCCCCTTGTGTAGGTCTGTGTTTCTTTATGGTTAACTTTCATTGCAGAGCTTCAGTAACTTCTGAAAGATGTCTCTCTCTTATTCCTCCCTGTCAGTGGGGATGTAACAATTAAATAGGTAGATGAAATACTTTGGAAAGGTATGCATCTCCATTATTAATGTGAAGCACTTAATTCCATTCTCATTTCCATTCAATCATAAATATCTTTTTCTGTCTTTTGATATGGTTGTGGATTTGCAAATTTCTGGGTGGGAAAAGGAGTGAATGACAGGAGTGGGGAAGGAGTGAATGACAAGAGGAAAACTGATTTCTCTTAGGAATTCCACTCAGCTCCTGTCAGAAGGAACAGATCCTTAATGTATAAAGTAGGATAATATGCCTATGTAAACAACACTGTGTAGTCTTGAAAATTAAAATAGCAAATGAAAACATGAAATGATGTCATTATCTATTATTATTTTTAGTTGCCTGTTGTTTGCAACCTTGTCTTGATCATTCCTTTCTGTGTAGCTTTATGTTTCATATTGTAGAATTGTGGCCATAAATTAAAAGTTGAAAATAAGCTTCAGAACAACTTTGAGAATAAGGGCAGATTCTGAAAATGAAAACTATTTTAAGTAGTCAAAGTACTTATCTCAGTTTCTCAAGGGGAAAAAGACACATCCTCTCTTTCCTGATACACACAGGGAAAGAAGCTGAGATTACTGCAGTGGAGGAAGGCAGGCACAATGTAAGAAACACAGACTATACAAGCAGAGGAACCTGTACTTGGCTTGTTCTGTGTTTCATGGAGTAATTTATGTCTGCTGGAGCTTTTTGTTAATGTCTCTTGATTGTAGAGGTTATTTGTAAAGTAACACACAAATTTAAGGTGATGAATGCAAACTGCACTGATGCCAGGCTTTGTTTGCTTAGCAGTCGTGGAGGGGACTGCACCAATTGCTAGTTGAAGTCACTTTTAATATGCATGCACCAGTATTTGTTCATACAGTGGTGTAAAATGCTGGCTTCCATCATTGTTCAGGGATTGGGGCTACCTCTGCTTGCTGACTTCAGGGTTCAGTGCTTAAAAAACAAATGCAAAATTAGAAGAGTTACTTGTAAATTTTTTGGCTGCTGAAGTATGTATAGATTTGCGAGGAATGAGTCTGCCCTTACAGAAGGGTAGCAGAAGCAAATGTGCAGAAATGATGGACGGTCGCAGTGGGGACTCGAGAAGAATGCGGTGAACTCAAAGTTAGAAGCAATGTTTCTGATCAATAAAAGACTGTCAGAAGGAAAGTTTATAGCTTAGCTATAAATCCATATTTATATAAAATAATTATAATAATATATCTATTTATATATATATAAATCTTATCTATAGTTTAGAGCTTATACATGGCTCAAATGCAATGGCTACATGAGCATACTTCTGAAAGAGTTATGTTTTGTGGGATTTTTTTACATAGCTGCACCACCCCCCTGTTAGAGCTTTGAGACTACATTCATGCATTAGCAGGAAGAAAACAGTTTCAAAGGATGTCTAGCTGTTCAGGCTACAGTGGAGATGTCGCTCTTCCTGAATATTTCACAGTACTTCCTGTTTATTGAATAAGCTAGTTTTAAATCATGGTATTTGTAGAATTTTCTTAAAAGCTGTCACATTTTTCACACTTCACAGTAACATGTTCTTCTGCAACTTAGCTTGTAAAAATCTTTCTTTTTTTTTTTTTTTAACCACAGGTGTTAAAATGACATAAGTAACAAACTGCATATTGGTTTTGGCAGGTTTGAGGCATGAAAGGCTGATAGTTTGAGGATACTCATATGCTTTGTGTTCTGTTTACTTGCTGTGGGATTGTGCATTGTTAGTTAATCCATTTTAGCTTGATACCAAAATATGTTTTCTTTTGTAGAGTGAAGATACACAGCAACAAATTATCAGAGAAACTTTCCATTTAGTATCCAAACGTGATGAAAATGTCTGTAATTTCCTGGAAGGAGGCTTGTAAGTATCAGGTTTAAAATAAGCATTCTGTACTTGCAAATATTTCTGCTGATAGTAGCACACTTGTTTTTACAGTTCTAATGTAAATGCAATGTCACTTGACCAACTTAGTGCACCAGTAATGATATCATCTTGATCCCAGGTATGCTATCCCTGACTAACTGGAATAAACACTTATACGTGTGTGTGTATGTATCAAAATTACTTAGGCACTAAACCACATTTTTTTCTAGTACTGTAATTGACACAGTGCTATATCTAGTCTTAAAAGTGATTCAGGCACAAGATGGGGAAGAGACAGGCGGATGATACCTAACCAGTTTCTCTATAATCCAGCTAAAAATTTCTGGTCTCATTTGGAGATGCACTGGCTTTTTCCATACCTACTGAGAAAATTAAGATATTTCATAGCTGTTGTTTAGGCTTAAGCTCTTAAAATTTGAGACAGCCTCTGAGAGTAGGAGTCCCCAACCTTTCTGTCAGGATTCAGACTTGCTCTATGAAGAAAAAAAAGTATTTAAAAAAAGTGTTGCTGCAGTTGTAACTAAGACTTTTTGTTAGCATAGTTAGAGTAGGAAAAAAGCAAGACTTGGGTCCTACATCTCCAGAAGACACGTACAAAATACTATTTCTTGAATCATGTCTTTTTTTTATGCACTCTCACTTTAATTGAAGAAATTCTGACATGGAAAAGTGTTTTGTTTTTAGATACTAGTTATCAAGATTGAATAGCTATGAAGGAAAAGGGTCATAGTCGATAGAGTAGGCTCATAATCTCCAGTATAAACATAGAGATTGTCATAGTCTGCTAAACATTTTAATAATGGAAATTTTCAGATTGATGAAAGCTAGTATGTTAATGCCTTAACTTTCTGTGTGCAGAGTCACACCTAAATATCTAGCTGTACCATGTCAGTTACGATGTCTTTTTCTTAGTCAAGGTGATCCCGTATATACATGTATATACATGTATATACATGTATATATTTAAAATAAAATGCTTCTCTATTAACTACTCAACTTTTGGTCTTAGTATTAGGTTCTTGAAGATGGTTACAAGCTGGAAATATGTTGGCTTGAAATCTCTAAGCTCAAGAACTCATTAGGAGCCTTAAAAAAATTACAGGGTACAACAGAAGGAAGCTAGACACAGAGAACACGAGTCTGGCTTTCCTCTTACTGCTCAATTCTGCAGTTGCCATTTCAATCTATATACTTTTTTTCAGGACAGGTATCACTTTATAGTTTGCAATTTGGCCAAAGGCCTCAGATTTTATAGATACTAGCTTAGCATAATGAAATATTTGGAAGAACTTAGGTAGCTTGGTTCTGGTATAGAGGTAAAGGAGAACTGTGAGACTTATAGCCATGTAGGTCCAGGCTAATTTTATCTGAGCAGACATCCTCGTGCCCAAAGTGAACGATAATGATCTGCCAAACATCTCTTTCCTTGATTTGTGTATCTTATTCTGAGAGGCTATAGCAGATGAGAAATACCAGTTTAAATATTTTCTCTTCTTGTTGAAATTATTAATGTCCATATAGATAACAATAACTGTGCTTGTGTGTTAAATGTAACTTGTGCTGTCCTGGTGTGTTGTTTTTTTTTTTGTTTTTTTTTTTAACTTACTTCCATTATAATTATATCACAAAATAAAAGTTGTGTCATAGTTAGATTTGGGAAAGCTCCAGCCAGTCATTAGTTACAGGGCTCCTGTTAACTGAAATAACTCTGGGGAGTTGTCCA